CCTAAAAGCGGGAGCAAAGGGGGTTTCTGCAAGCCCCTGCCTGCAGGGTGGGCAGCAGAGGAGCCAGCCTGGCTTCCCCCGAGGGTGAGCCTGAGAGCTCCCAAAATCCCCCAGCTCATCACGGTGATCCGCTCCTGGGGACTTGTTTGCTTCCAATCAAGCCGGGGGTCTAACGAGGCCCCAGCGTGCGGGCAGCTCGTGTCTGGCGACGTGTTTTCGACAGGAACGCAACTTTCCAGCCTGAGGAGAAGGGGAAGTCTGGAATTCCCCAGCGAGAGGGGACCAGAGCTGATGCTTCCTGGTTAAGAAACCACAAGTTTTATCTCTGTTTGGAGGGACCGCAGCTTTCCTCAGTACAGCCCCTTGCTGCCCACCAGGATTCACTTCTCCAAACCGTGCCCCAGATTCCTCCTCTCAGCTCAGCGCTGAGCCCAGGGCAGGTTTCATTTCTCCTCTCCCCACCTTCGCTCCGAAGCTGAACTCACCCAGACGATGATGGAGAAGAAGGAGAAGGCGATTGCTGCCCGGGCAGCGTCTGCTCCTTGTGAAACCCCTTTGCCCATCGTCGTCCGCTGCCACTGGTTTGCTAGGAAGCAGAAGGCTACGAACCACAGGAAGGACAAGAAACCTGAAAGAGGAGAGAGCTGGTCAGTGCTGTCCCTGCCCACCGCCGCCTCTGCTGCAAGGCCCCCCCTTGCTGAGGCACAAACACGCCGCCGCCAAGATTTTGCAAATAGCAGCCATGGGCTCGGTGTGCTGCGGCCCAAACGGAGCTGTTTTAAAACAGGCTGATTTGCCGTCGCTGGAAAAACAGGGATGGCAGGAACCTTGTCGGGTCCCCCAGTCTGTTGCCTGCCTGAAGTTTAGCTCGCCCACATCTCAGCCTGATCGCAAAGACCTACAGGGCCAGCACACCCTCTCTGGACATGCGGTCCTCGCGCTCCGCGGGATTTCAGCCTGCTCACAGACCTCAAGGCGCTACCGACTCAATTCCAGCACCCCAGTGTGCCGACCCACCGCTCCCTCCGTTCCCTGGACACCGCCGGCTCTTGGGAACGTTGGGCTGGGTACTGCAAAGCTCACCCAGGAAGAAGCCGGCGCTCCTGAGAGCAGCACTGGGCTGCTTGGAGACGGCTTTACAGCTGTTCTGCGCTGAGCTGTGCCTTGCTCCGACCCAAGGACACAGCCGGAGAGCTAAAAAAAAAGGCAAGGAACGCTACCCCAGGGATATGGACAGGCTGAGATTTAACCCCTGCTCCAAACACGGGGATCACGTGTGACCCTGGGACGTCCGTGCATCCCCCGAGCGCAGCAAACGAGGCAGTGCTTGTCGTCTGCCGTGCCCCGGCCGCGGCGGGGCTGCCCACGGAGCCGAGAGGCACACGGGCTTCACGTGAGGGAGCTCTGCTCGTCCCCGCTGCCCTCCGCTGAACTGCGCTCCTGTTCGCAGCCTCTCTGGGCTCTGCGGGATTGAGGGAAAAACGCTCTGGTGATTACTCCTTACTGGAACCAAAGCTGGCTGAGCGAGATAGGGCTGCAGCTCCCCTAATTCAATCAGCAGCCAACAGCACTGCCTGATGCCAAGGAGCTCAGAAAATAAGTGAAGAAGCAAGCCCCAAGCGCACGGCGTAAGGAGCAGCGATGCTTTCCAGTGCTGGGAAGAGGAGCTGCACAAGCTGGAGCTTTCCACGATGCCGTTTTCAGGGTCCCCAGCTTTCCCGAGCATCCCCAGCGCAAAGGGCCCCCCCCACCCGCCAATTCCGTGTGCCGGTGCACGTGGGGACGCCGAGCTACCCAGCGTCGTCCCAAGGAGCGTAGCACATCAGTATGAGCAGCCACGCCGCCAGTCCCATGAGGCAGCCGGCTGCAAAGCGCAGTCTGACTGCAGGGAGAGGCAAGAAGCCTCCTTTATTCCCCTTTATCTCGCCAGTTGTTCCTAAGTACGGTATCAAATGCAGGCGTGCACCCACATCCAGTGCGAGAGTTACAGGGCTCATCGCACGCCTCGCCTTTAATTCAGAACTGGCTCCTAAACGCAGTTTAAGAAAACGCACTCCTCGTCTCCTCCTCTTGCACGATGGGGCCTGGGGCTTCCCGGCCAGCGGGTGCTTTTGTCTGCCCGGCCGTGCTTGAGCCCTTGAACTGCCCCCTCAGCAACACAAACTCCAGCCAAGATCGTCCAGGCTTTCCTCTTCCAAATTACGGACTAATGCAACAGCCTTGTTTTGCCGAACAGAGCTAATGCCTGCCACCAAAACTGCCCCAAATCTCTGCAAATGCATTTTTCACTTCCCCTTAGGATGACTGCTTGTTGTCAGCGTTAGATGAGACCTCTGGGGCTTATCCCTCAAAGATCATCCTCAGCGACAGAGATGCTTTCTAGCTCCCCGGCTCTGTTATAAAGGGGCTTTGCCAGCCGCTGCCCCACCGCGGCGGAAGCAGATCCAGCCCCTAAATGCGGGCACAGGAAGATGCGTGCCCAAGATACGGCACTGCCTGCAGCTCGGATGACCAGTATGTGGTGAGCGCGGTGGGTAGCGGTCCCCAGGTCTCGGTGCCCCAGCT